TAAGTTTATGCAAAGAGAATTAATTTGTTCATGATAATTCCTGAAGAAGAAAGAATTGGAATGATCCAGAAAAACGACCAAAAACTAAACCAAATTGTTGAAATCTTGAGCAAAGATGAAGAAGAAAGAACTTCAGAAGAGAATAATTTGAGTAAGGAATATGAAAGACATAGGAAGACTGTATAAGAGAGTTGAAGTAAACAACGAAACGAAGCATTTATATGTTATTCCCGATTCAATGAGAAAGGCAACAGTTGCAAAATATCATGATCAAATGGGACACTGGTCATTGGATAGTACTGTATCAGCCATATTACAAAAATTTTGGTTCAGGGGTATGAGAAGATATGTGAAAAAGCACATACAAGGCAGTTTCGAATGTTTATTAGCAAAGGTTCCCTGTGGAAAGACGCCAGGAATATTGCACCCACCGAAAATTCCAGACAGACCAATGATTAAGTTGCACATAGATCACCTTGGACCTTTTCCTAAAAGTACCACAGGGAAGATGTATATATTAGTCGTTGTTGATGCTTTTTCAAGATTCATAAAACTTTATGCACAGAGAAGTACACAATCAGACGAAACAATCACAAAAATTAAACTTTTTTTTCATCAACGATTATGGTGCACCCAGAGTCATTGTAAGCGACAGGGAAAGTGCTTTCACGAGCAACAAGTTCACTGAGTTTTATAAACAGTATAATATTGAACATAAGCTCATCGCTGCACAATTTCCACAAGCAAATGGTATGGCAGAGAGTAAAATGAAATCAATTGTACCCTGTATTGTAACTTCAATTGATTTTGAAGACGACAAATGGGACAAAACATTCAATGCAGTGGAAAATAAAATTAATAATACTGTGAATAAAACAACATGCTTTACCCCTTGTGAATGTCTGTACGGATTTCAACCCAGATTTGAAGACGCTGCTATGGTTAATTTGGTAGAGACGGATGGTAAACCGAATGATCATGAAGAAATAAGAAGAAAAGTTAAAGAAAACGTTAACAAAAGTCAACAAAAATATAGGATATATTTTGATAAAAAGCGGTTTAACGGAGTTAAGTTTGAACTGGGAGATATAGTAGCCGTTAGAAAACCACACATTTCCATTGGTCAACCAACAAAAACTCAAATGAAATATCGTGGACCATTTGTGGTAATAGAAATTTTACGAGGTGATACATACAGGTTGGAGAAACTCAATAAACAAGACAGTTGTTCGAGTTCAATTACTGTAGCACATGTATCACAAATATATATATATCGTAATCATGAAGATGATGATTCGGGAGAAGAAGATGAAAAAAAACGAATTTGTTATTGAGGAAGTTGGAAGAGACAGAGAAAATGAAATTTACTTATCGAATGATGATGATAGCGATAAAGACTGGATTCCTGATTCCCAAGAAAGAGTGGAAGAAAATATTATGACTAATGACAGACCTTAACGAAGAACAAGAAAACCAAAGAAATTTCAGATGATTGTGTTTGAGGACAAACATACATTCAGGATGGTCAAATGTTGTAATTCATTTGTTATTTTGGCTCACCATATAGAGGTTTTGGGAGAGCAATGTCAAATTTTGACAGAGATGTCAGAGAGATTGTTTCGATTTGTAATTCAAGTAATTTTATTCTATTTTTGTAATTTTCATATATTTCCAACATATGGGTTTGTGAACATGTTTAATTCATTTTCCAGACTATTTAATGTAGGTAAGAATAAAATAATGCTGAATACAGGACCCCCTCAAGGTTGCAAAATTTAATTCCTAATATTCTGCTTTGCCCTAGTGATACTTGCAGGGCATTTTGGTGATGTTGTTGTTGAGAAAATGATAGCATTTTTGTTGCCCGTTGACAAAATCAGGAGACCCACTGAAATCTAACGGATGACTTCACTTTGTCTGATCCCAAAATGTTAATCGCACTATCTGGGATACTACTTGTAAATGGGTTCAACAAGGAGTTTGTATTAAAATAAATAAAAATAGCATTGTATAAAGATACATTCTGGAATATCAAACTTAAACAGTAGGTATCTAAAATATACTTACTATCAATAGTACCAAACTTAACAGCCAAACATTCAGATTTTGGCTTCTCATCTGCAAAATCCACAAAAACAGTGTAAACGAATGCTTTGTCACTTCCTGCACTTGGTTTGAGTTCCATGTATGGTGTTATGAAATGATTAGCACATACTTTGAGAGTTTTGTCTCTTCTCATAACTACTCGAACAGATCTGCTTACATTGTGTACAAGAAGTTTCAATTCTCCGGTGCCTCTTTCCTAAAACATGTGAAAAAATAATAATAAAATACAAAATGAAATCCAAACTTTCTTGCCTTCCATTCTGGTGGGTCACTGGAAGAGTCAAAGCGATACAATTTAGCACGAATTTTAAGAAGTTCTCTTTCATTTTCCTCGTTTGTAGAAACTTCTACTTCCGGTAAAGTGATTATGGGTTTAAACTGAGGATCATACTCTGTATCACTACTGTCACTCTGCTTGCGATCCTTCTCTGGAGTTTCCTTCGAAGAATTTAAATAAGATTGAATCAATAATTTCTGAAATAATTGGTAATTACTTACGACTATCTGTCCCTCACTCATCCTCAGTCACGCTACCACACACACTATTTTACAAAAACGAAATAATTACAATAACCACCCTTCCTCACAATTTTTTATTCTATTTACTGACTTACTGACAGACAGTGTGGCCCACTTTGCTTCTGTTGACAAAGTTGCCGCCAAATTTGAATTTCTCAGTGATTCAAATTTCTTTGAACCAAAATCTTTTGTGGACTCTGTTAAAACATATTATTAGAGGAAGTAACTTTTTGCTGAGCGCGACTTCAGAGTTGAGGTATACAGTGAGGTGTATTGAAAGTACTTTTAGCAGTACTTTCATAAAAGTTGGACTAATACTTGGATTATTTCAAGTATTTCAGGGGTTGAATACTGGTACTAGTATGAAAATAATGGTGCTTATACTTCTTCTGAATTGCTGGTACAGTTTATACTCACAAAATTCACACTTGAAGTTTATGGAAAAGGCCTAATTATTCAAAAACACTGAAGTATTCAAAGTATTTCACGTGTTCAGAGTAAGAACTTATCAAGTAGTCACAGTACTAATGAGTATTGAGTGAAAATCTGAGTGAAAATACACGCAAATAACTTTTTCTAACCACTTACATAAAAGTGGAACTTTTCGTATTTGGGAAAAAAATTAAACCTTTTTGTCAAAACTAAATGAAAAATAAGATCGTATAGGTACAATCATAACTGTTAACATAGTGGAACATTATTTCGCAGTTCTCTTTTTCATTTCAATATTCCGAAGTGAATATTATGGAAAACACAATTGGCATTTTCTTTCAATGGAACGGAAAGTAAATATAAATTATTGGTTAACTGAACCGAAAAATTCAGCTCGTCCGAATTTGCCGCGAAACTCAAATTAGTTTTTCCTGGCCGCATGGTGGCGCTGAAAGATTGTTTCTACCTCAGACACCTCAAAGTAATAATAAGACACACTCTGAGGTTTCTACTCAGGGAGTTCCGACCAAAGAGTACACCAACTTCACACCAACTAACGTGTACTCTTTGGTACCGATATTCTGTGCCCAGAGTTCGTAATGGAGTGTGTAACTCTCAAATATACTACTATCACTACTACTTATTTGATCTAACGTTCAACCAAATAGTGTGAAATTTTCAAATAACACTAGAATTGATTTTTTGATAAAAAGGGTTGCTAATGATAAAATACCACATGCCTCCACTTTTAAAAAGTGAAGTACAGTTTATTTTCAAATGTAACGTGAAATTGTTAAGAACGCGCCCAACCAAGCAATAAATAAAACACGAGTGTTCTCCAACTACGATTGATCATCTGAAATTTTTGCCACTGTGGTAGCTATCATCGAAGGAGATGCGGCATGCCACATCGCTATAGATAATATTTTTGCAAACTAAACGTTATGCCCAAAAACCTGTTGATTTCAGGTAATGAACTCTAAAACAGCACATAATCTATTTGATCCATGGCAATATATCACACCTATCCATACAATTAGTAATTTTAGGAAAATTTGTGTTTCGCGCTTTTAAATTGGATTTTGCCGATTTTTGATATGGGTTGGCGTTTTTGAGTTCATTGTGTTGACAACACTGATTTTTACACTAATCAGTCTAATCTCAATGTGATATCAGTGATATCTGATCTCTGACGTGTTGTCTTACCGGTATATTATATATTGAGGTGTCACTTTTTCAGGGGAAATATTAAAGCTTTAGCGTTTATACCTAGTGTTTGGTAGTTTCTGTGCCCAGTGTCTTCTAAATAATAAAGATATGAACATGAACTGCATAATTTGTGGTCTTATAGTAATTGTTTTATGTATTTTTTCAACAGATGCATGTAAAGGATGTGTGAATTTGGATGAACATAACTTCGAAAAGATAATACCAAGGTTTGAAGCTGTTCTAGTCAAATTCGACGTGGCTTATCCCTATGGAGATAAACATGATGTGTTTAATAATCTAGCTACTGATATAGTTGATAATAGGAACTTCATACTGGGACAAGTTGCTGTAAAAGACTATGGTGAAAAGGACAATGAGGAATTGGCTGAAAAATATGGTGTAAACACCAAAGATGACTTGCCTGCTCTTCGACTATTTGTCCAAGGTGAAGATGAGCCCTTCTCTTTTCCAAAAAACATACCTTGGACCGATGAGAACCTGAAAAAGTTTGTGAGGGATCACACAAATATTTATGTAGGGTTACCTGGTTGTCTTGAAGTATTTGATAAGTTGGCTATCAAATTCAGTAGTTCTCAGGAAAAAAATAAAATTCTAAAAGAAGCAGAAGTGGAACTCGGCAAACTTAACAACGAGGTAAAATAGTACATACTATAGTTTGATAAAAGATAATAGATACTCAAATTGTATGGAATCTTTGAGAGATTCTAGGCGCATACACCATGAAGTTCATCAATAGTTCACTAAACCTTTCATAGTGAAAATCACACTAAACTGTATTAGTGATTTTATGAAATACTTCAGACTTTGTAGATTTTCTCACAAGTGAAAATTCGACTTTTCCATAGTTGAATTTCTTGCAACAAGTGTTGAAATTAATGAATAAGTATAATAATTCTGGAAATATATTAAACTCTCATAATACAATTCCTTCAAGAATAGTAAGATCATCTTTTTTTAATAGATGTTAACCTACTTCAATTTGATGAAGCATAGTTGAATACATAAAAGTGAGAAAAACTATTCTTTTTTTCGAAGTATTATTTGCTTTTGGAATATAATGTTGTCAATTCCACAAACAGTATTCTTGAGGTGTTAATTAATAAACAATCGAAAAAGCTGACTCATTTTCATGATTGAATTGCCAACTGATTTACAATATTGTGATTATCCCAGTTGTGAAGAAATCTACTCACGAGAAAAAAGTTTTTGGCTTTCAACTTTTTCATCTTCATCTTCAAACAAAACAAAATGGGAAAATTCCAAGGAAAGTGAGAAAGAATGACTGCAATAAATTATACAAAAGGAAAAAGTCTTTTCGAAAGAACTATTTTCATATGAACACTGACTTACACAAAAATCTTTTTATCTTATTCAGTTAGTACTAAAAACTATTTTTTATGGAGTTGAAATAGATATCATTCATAAGATAGCTACACAATATGATGTATAATTGTATTGATACAAAATGTCATTTACACGAACATTATTGTCCTCAATGGTGTACTTAAAATTTTCGGGACAAGATACTTGCCTTATCACCAGATAGCACCATTTTGGATAACATTACAAGACAAAGCACTCATTTCTTTCAGTACATATTGAGCAAAAAAACCTGAAATGAAATAACAGTGAAATAAAATACAATAGAGCAATTGAACAAAAAATTAAAAATTGAGAGATTCCAAGCCAAGTTACTTCATGATGTTTCGATTGTTAGTATCTACAATTGTCTTTGGGTAATTACAATCATCACTTGAATTTTAAGTCACTGTTATTTCAACAATTCCTGCTCTCTCATGGACCATTCAGAGAAAGGGATCCTAACTCCTGATGATTTTACATACTCAATTCAGTTCCATTCTGTCATGTAGACACACCAACTTCACAAGTCCAATTTTGTGTTTGGAGTGTAACTTTTTGGGTTTTCATGTCAACCGACTCCTTCTGAGTCCACTACCAAGGAGTGGAGTAAAATCAGGCAGAAAGCATATTTGTAACAACAACTTCATTCTTCTCTGACTGTTCCGATGACCACAACTATCGGAGTGGAACAACAAGTAATTATACGTTTCTTTGGCATCCATATTGTGTAGGTTGCTTCTCATCTATGAGCTCTACATCCTCTTCATAATCCCCTAATGTGTAATCTATAATCCCGAATTTCAAACCGTAAGCATGAATGTACTTATGTACCACTCTCAAGGACTGGTGGCGACCATTTATTCCGGAGGCATTAAGTTGAGGATCATCCAGTTAAAACAAATGACCGATTTTATGCCTCCAGATGTTATGGTGAAGCAAGTTTGCCAGAATGATACCAGTTGTTCAAGAGACATCTCAATATTTTGTCAGGTACAGCAAGGCATCTGAGAAAATGCAAGATGAGCTGATGCGATGTTGTATCAAATGGCTTGCGGTAATCATTCCAAGTTTTACTGTATCGACTCCTGCGTTATACAGTGCATTTCTTCAATGTCTTGGAAAAAATATTAAATGGAAAGTGGGGTCTTCTGACACATGTTTTTGAAGCTCCTGTCAAATGCTTCACAACCCTAGAATATAATGTCAATATTTTCAACTAATTCAATATGGCGGAACTTTTAATAATTGCCTTAATACATTGACAAACTACATGATATGAGGTAATGAGCTTGAAGTCAGTTCAGAAGATGCTCAAAATGGTTGCCTTGAACTTCTTGACATATGAACAGCCTATCCGATATTTCACGCCGAACATTTTCGAACACAGTAACGTCAATATCTCTACAAATATTTATTTTCTCTGCCGTATATCCAATATTGAAGCAGGTTCAGTTTCGTAGACTATTTGCTTTAAATAGCCCCATAAAAAGTCTAAAGGTGTCAAATCTGGCGAGCGGGCTGGCCATTCTGTAGGACCTCGACGGCCAATCCAACGACCCGGAAAAGTAGCATCCAAATAGTTTCTTACTTGTCTGGAGTAATGTGGTGGTGCTTCATCTTGTTGGAGTACAATATCCATATCGAATTCATTAGGAATCGTTTCGATGATTTCAGTGATGAGAGGGTCAAGAGTAGTTTCCAACATATTCAAATATAGCTCCCCTGTTAAATTTTGATACATAAATAGAGGCCCTACAATAAGGTTTCCCAATATTCCTGCCCAAACGTTAATTTTTTTTCTGTATATTGGGTATGTGTTTCCCAGAAAACGTGAGGGTTGGCGTCACTCCAATAACAGCAATTTTGTCTGTGAACATTGACGTTTAAAAAATGTACATTCGTCACTAAAATAAATATTGTGGAGATAGGAAGGATGTCTTACAATAGTTTCCGTCATGATTTCGCAGAATTCTGTTCTTCGATCAGGTTCGTTTTCAGTTAATTGGTACACACAGTATACAAGTTCTCTCAAATATTTTCTACAGATAGAACGACTCGGAAAACGTTCATTGGAAATCCTTTCGGTCTCGTGAAATGGACGAGAATTGACCATTTTAGAGATTGTTGACGTGTTACCTTTCTACTAGTAAAACCGAAAACCAAATGAGAATATTCTAACTGAACAATGATGTTCATTTTCGTACTGACATTTTTTGTCGTTTTATAAACAAAAAATAACTCAACAAACCTTATCGGGTTGTTGGAATTACCATATGGCAGATAAAAAGTAATATTTCTAGAAATATCGATATTTAAAAACTAAAACAGTATTGTATGATTTCACTATATAGTGAAAATCATACGATAAACTGTATTAATTAGGTTTTTAATATGGATTTTCATCAAGTATCGGCCAGTTCTATTCAATCAATATCGATATTAATGTGTTTGTCTTCAGGGCATTATTAAATGTTCCGCCATTTTGTAGTAGGTGAAGATATTGACTTCATACTCTAGGGTTATGAATTATTCGTCAGGAGCTTCAAAATGATGTGTCACAAGACCCCCTTTCCATTAAATTTTTTCCCAGATGGCGCCCAGTCGCCGTTTTGAAAGTTTCATCTGTCAATTTCACTTCAAAATAAAGTATTCATGCGTTAATTTCATTATTCCAAATTTCAATTTTTTGAGTTGACCCGTTCAAAAAATAAAAAGAGGGGACATTAAAGAAATGCACTGTACATCTATTGGCGAGCAGGTAATCTCTATATCTAGCTACTCCTATCTCTGACCCTCTTTGCTCATACATGCGTTCCACTATTCGGTCAATTGTGGAGAGTATTCGTTTATATAAGATGATCGTAAACAATTTATAACACGAATTTAGGCATAATATCGGTCTGTAATTCTGAGGAATCGAGAAATCTCCGATTTGGGGATAAGAACGGTCCACCCTTCAAACCAATCTACCCAACAATGAGTTGGCCAGATGACGGTAGGTGCTGGTTTTATTTTCCACCAATAAGTGTTGATCCAGATCCATCTGCGTCTAGAGCAGCAAAGTTCTTGGAACACATAAGCTCAAGAAGACGAAGTTTTCCTGAAATGTGGTCGTCTGAGTCGAGTGGCTTCAAGTTTTCATAAATGCTTATGCTCTTTGTATAAGCGAGAAAGATTCTTGCTGAACTCAAGGTTTTCCGAGGTACTTCTCACTCGACTCATTAGTGACTATTTAACAGCTACTAGCATCCATATCATATCAAGGCAGTGTTGATTGAATATTCTGAAATCATTCAGTTTGGATTCTTCAAAATCAGAACTATGATGGAGGTGGATTTTGTATCTTTATTTAGCTGTGTTCATTGGGTGTTTTGTTTATTTCTCGGTATTACATAGAAAGCGAGTCGTTGCAATTTGAGCTGAGTGAAATAAGTACCTTTTCTGTGAAATATGTGAATTCCACTATTAGTTCAATGTATTGTTTTTCGTCTTTTTAATAATTCGACTGACGAATTTGTGATAAACCTTCATTCCCTTTTCATTAAAACAATTTTGGATCCAAGAAATTATTGTTTAACATGTTCCGAGGTTCTCTAGTTTTCCTAGGGTTTCATAAAATATTTTTATTTTTGTTGAGTTGGTGTAAGGTTTTTTGTTTTATATTAAAAAAAAAACCGAAAATATTGTAGTTTTCATTCTTTCGATAGTACTGGTCAAAGAGAACAGATGCCCTATTCATTGTTAAGACTATTGATCTCTAGTTAGAATAAATAGAGGTATAAAGATGAAACGTTATTTTAAGGTAATCAAATTGAGTACATTTGAAAAAGGCTTTTATTGAAACAAAAAACAAGACAACTGTCAATGAATTATAAAAGAACACCCTTTGAATCATTCGGGTGCTAAAATGGTAAGTATTTGGTTCTAAGGTGGCACACCAACTTGAGAGCTGCAGTACTCAGATGACCGTTCTAGGGAAAACTGAAATTTTGTCATGAATTGAAAACTGCTCAGTTGAAAAGTTATTGTGTAATATAAACCTTTTGAGAGTACAATTAGTTAGTGACTCGTATTTATGAATTTTGCCCATAAATAGACTTGATTGAACAAATACCATTTTCAGTAATTAGCATTTTTTAAAACGGCTGACGTTTCGGAAAAAAGTCCCTTTCCGTTTTCGAAATCTACGAAATTACTTTCAAATACGCCTCTTGATAATGTATTCCTTTTGACAAATTGTTTTGAGCCGATCCTTGCTTCGTTGAAGCAGT